TAAATCCATTAGATCACATTGCATTTTTATCTTGCTTTCAATGATTTGTTAAGCATAATAGTGATCAAAATATTACGCATAATTATTGAAAAGATGTTCAATATAAAAAAAACAAATAAAAAAAACAAGAGTATATAAATTAATATGATGATTATTTTCAAAGAATTTCGATTTTTGCCACATAAATAAATTTCCTGATGAATTTAGCAGAAATTAAGATCAAGACTCTTATAATTACATTTTATATTAGGGTGAGTAATTGCGATTATTAAGAATGCAGCTTAATCCCTTAGCCTTACGCTATAGCTGCTTATAGGATCAATTGGCTCTTATTTGGTATATTAACGTTACACCCTCTGCGAGATATGTATGAAACGGAGATATAAGATGACAAAAATACCTAAATTTCAGATTTATTTTACACAAAACTATGCTTTTCTTTGTTCTTTTCCTTTGGATAAAGAGATAAAAACTTGAAATTTCAATATTTTTTTAATATTCAAAACAAGTTTGTAATAAATTTCTATTGAATAATCTTAATTTTTATCAAATATCCTGCAGAGATATAAAAAAATTAAAGTATAAAATGTATGCAAGAAGTACTACTTTAATATCAAATGCAAAAAGTACAACTTATTTGTATTGAGTAAAAAAGTAACTCAGCCAACAGGCATGTACATGTTTCATCCTTGGTCTCATCTTACAGTTTCTAATTTTACTCCAAATTACCTTGGCGGTTTTTACCCAAAAGGAAAAGTACACATAATGGAGAGCACGCGCACCTCCAAATAGGTAATATATTTTGCATTTATATTAAAAAATTGAACTTCATTAGAAATTTCATTCACAGACGGTAGACAAGGGGTGAATACTTGAGTGGCAAAAGAGTAATGTGGATGAAAAATGCTATTTGGGCAATATGGGGTTGTAGGTTGAAAAATGAGGAGTAATTAAGGAAATTGCATTATTGAGAGAAGAGTTTAACAGAAGTTTTGCAAATAGGAGGACCAAGGGTGGTTTTAATTCCTACATCCTAGATGATAAATGACTTGAAATATTCCCAACAATCAAAAGGAGTTTTTCATTTACCTTCCCCCATTTCACATGCTCATTTGGTCTTTCACACCAGCTCCACCTCTTTTTGGCCCAAAACACTGCCAGAGCATAAATTTGCAATGATGCGTGAATATGATTCCCAGACTCTATGACAATTGTGTCATGATTGAGTGTTTTCCCCCATTGATCCTTTGCAGGAAGATCCCTGCGTGTGGCGGAATATTAAATTATGTTGGGAATTGAATAAATTTCTCATGCACACACAATGCCTTCGTGCTTTAATGTTGTGCTAATTAAACGAGTAGTTGTTTGTGCCATGCTAAATTTCGGATATTAAGTATCAACCCTCGATGTTTCAGGGCAGGACTTTCTGTCTGTTAGGAAAATGGGACAGACGTGGGTGTTGCAAATCTTCTGGTTCTATTGATGTGTAAATAAAATGTACTATACTGATGATACTTGTACCATGTTCATCCGTTATTGAGACCGCTGATGAGAACGCCGATGAAAGGTCTTTTCCGGATTACTATCTGTATTGAAGGACGCACTTTGTCTGGGCTTTTAGTGGTGAAAAGGGCGTCAAAGGGATGGATACAGCACTGAGATAAAGCTAAGAGTCATTATTTGACTTTTGCTTCATTTCACGGAGAATATTTAAAGGGGGAAATACCGCTGCGGTTACATGTCCCACCCCTTAGCTTTTACCCTATGCAAAGTCGTGGAAAATCAATAGCAAATCTATCTCTCGAAATCCAATTTTTACACAAATCGGCTTTACTTCTAAGTATAATATTACAATTATAATTGCCAGATTAATATTCAAATATTCTCGTCATAACTTTAGAATTTTGGTCTTTTTGCAACACTACACAGTAACGAAAATATAAACTATACTATGTTCAAAGAAATAGTTCATACAATAAAATGTCTTCGAATTGCTTCTGGAATTACACAACTACTTTTGTATGTATTTAAATGTAAATATGAAGGTAATGCCATCGCACACGGCACTGCTAAAAGTTCATTTTAGTATACTCATTATCGTCAACTATAAACCTACATAATTTCTTTAGTTGTGATATCTGAAATGAAAGAGGCAAATTAAGCTGTTCAACCCGTATAGTGATCAACCCTTCTACTAATTTGCCAGTTCTTCTGCCCTTCCCTATTAAGGAGTCTAATTTTATTGCAAAATTACCATACATATTATTCCTAATGGTGCACAACATGACGAAATCTAAATTACAGTAGTGAATTAAGTCGCGACAAGTGGTAACTTTAGTAGAATATAAATTGGGATAGGAAGGGGGACAGAGATTGGGGAAATCCTATAAATTTTAATTAACTACCTATCGCTTTCACAGAATTGAATCAATTTACTTCTCACAACTTTAAGTCTGTTCTCATTTTTTGCTATCAATTGAGAAGCGTGGAGCCATAAAAGAAACTCGCAAGAGAAATTTCAATAATGTTGTCTCGTAAATTTCCGCACCCGGAAAAGAGGGGAACTTTTACAAAAAAAACGTGTCTACATTTTAATATTTATAAATATATATATTCAGCGAAGAAAAATGCATCCATGTCATGCACTGAGAGATTGAAAAAAATCATTAGTATTCAAAGGGAAAACGGATGGAATTTGCTCAGTTGCACCATTGTTGATAAATCTCTGGCATTGGATATATTAGTAATATAAAGACAGAAAAGAGTAAATGTACTACATCAAAGTTAATAAAACTTGTATATTATTCTAATGAATATACAGTAGTTCCAAGCAATTGAAAATTTATAATTCATTATTATGAATTGTTGAAGTAATTTTGAAATGATTGCAAAAGTATTGGGACTTTTAATAAATATCAAAATGATAAAGTAAAGTAAGATTAAAAAGTCATTTTGTAAAATTGGTCACCAACAATTTTCATAACACATTTCATTCAGATCATTTATCTACATTAGGTATTAAGACTGCGTATTAAAAAAAAAGGTTCCGTTGTTATTCTTAGCAATGGTCATCATTTTTCGTGGCTACTTTAAAGATTCAGAGTTTGCAAAATTACGATTACATAATAGAAAATTTCTAAGAATATAGTATAGAATAATTTCACATCTGATTTTCAAGTTAACAAAACAATCGATGGTGCTCTTGTTTGTCTCCATTTCTTGTACCAATGCTAGTACGTTAAAGTGCTTTTCAGTGTCAACTAATGAAACGATGTCTATAGAGGAATAATTAGTGACACGAAGATATCTGTCTCTCCCATCCATCGTATGAAAACGGACATTTAGGAAAATTTATCATACTGCATCAATTAAAATAAAATAGATTTGTCACAAACAAAATAAACCAAAAATTGTAGAGTGAAGCTTTTTTGCATCACAAAATCAATACAATTCGCGATATTCAAATACATATCCACTTGTGCATGAATCAATCTCTCAAACAATTCGATTTTACGTGAATTCTCATCAGCACCATTGAAATTCACTGAACAAATACCAAAAGTGTGTATACAGTAAAAAAGCAAACGAGTCAGCTGATTCTCTTTCAATGTATTGTATCCACTTTGGCGCCAAATATCCAACTTTTAATTGGCATTTTGGGTGTTGGTACTTTAATTGAACCAGAGGCAAATTGTCATGAAAATTATTTCACTTCACAGTGCGACAACAAATTAAGCACATTGTGCAAATTTGCAGTAAAAATTCATTCGCTAAAAAATTAAATGCTGCCATTCACAGAAACTTTCCAATGGCACTCCAGTAACTTCACAATTTTACCTTCGCAAAAGGGAATAAAGTATGAGGGAACTGGTTGGCAACTTGGAGGGTAGGAAACCTATGAAAGCGAGCCACAGATTTACAGGCATTTTGCCGATGAATACGGAGAATTGTTTACATACTCTTATACTGGATTTAATCCCTTTTCGCCGAATGCTATGTGATTTATCTCTGAAGTTCGCCTCGAATTATCATTGTTCTATTTACACACAGTAAAAGACTAATTAGTCCGTTGGATTCTCCTCTCCTTGAATTTGATGATCTTTCCTTACAACATCCTTTACCTACTACTTTAATTTTATGAACTTCTCAAATTCATCGAATTGTACAGACTAAAGTTTAAATTGACTGATAAATTACCCGTACTGTAGGTTGAAATTTTGTTTCGTTTGAGTAAATAAAATAAATTTTCATAGGGTGAATTTTATGAATAAACGTTGAATTGCGTTACAAATTTAGTATTGAAATAAAAATCAAATATACATAAGATACACATAAAAATATGTACTTTATGCACATGCCCTTAATTTTTCAATACAAATAAGAATATAAAGTACCTAAGACTCTCAGATATAGATTTTTTATACGCTGATTATACATATTTACATACTAATAATTGGATAACAAAATAATATTGATCTGTCATGACTGATCTGATAGGTTTGTTATTACATATGTCGTAAATGTGCAAATTCAGTTGAAATTAGAAGGCCCATACTTTCATGCGATATCTTTGGACGTCATGCATATAAGAGCCATAGAAGACTGGACACGGTATTGCAAAAAAGAAAGAATTTTAACTCTTTTTCCTCACTTTTCGAATCATTTCTTTTATTTCCTTCTTTTCGCATCTACCTCCGTGTCTTCGTTATACTCACGGTTCAATACAAAGAGGTATTTTTTTGTTTTCTCTTATTGGCGAGAACTTCGTATTTAGGGAATTTGACAGGGACTTATTCTGGCAGCTAGTATCGTGCCGTATACGGTGTTTTAGTTTGCTAATTGAAACGCAGAAAGTTTAATTTTAAACATTAAAATTAGGGTCGCATTAGGTACAAATGTTTGAGCAATCAAAAGGGGAATTTTTTTGCAAATTTCAATGCTTCAGAATATATGGTATGAAGAATTTGAGCATTTATATATTCCAACTAAACTCTACTTACAGTTAGAAGATGTTTTACGTCATTTTATACTCGATTCGTTTTCTTCCATTCCGTGTAAATTACTGGTATGTCGGATCTTTTTTGCTCGACACCTTTTTGTGCTCTTCAAATTGTATGCACAGCACTGTCGGAAAAAAATCTTCTTTGGTCACTCTTTCATCATTCGCCTCTTTCCACTGTTCCGTTCACACACACTTTACAAACAACGGCAAAAGTTAATCAGCCACCTGAAAATGAGAAAATATACACAACACCATAATTAATTCATTAACAAAAGACATACACAGGAGAGGAGATAAAAGGGTACATTGTGCCCTTGACTTTAATCATTCAAATTAAGTTAAGTCTCTATATAAAAAATATTGTTAGAATTGATTTTGTAGGAATTAATGATAACACTTTAAAAGGGTAAGCTTTAAAGCCCTTTTCGTCACTTTGGTTTACTTCATCCGCTGCTTATAGCACAAAAGCCGGAGTGAAAAGTGATGCGAAAATTTTGCCGCAATGCCAATCATACTGCCGGAAAATTTCTCCCAACTATGAATTATAAACATGAAAATATACCAGACATATACACAACATTGTGAAGTGTTGTGTGGTTAAATGAGTACAAGTTGGTATATTGTGTCAGAGGAGGATACTTAATCGTGGAAAATTTAATGAAAACCCCAGAATTGTTGACAAACTAAGCAGAAGGCACTTTTGTCCACTCTCGGGAATATTTTCACGGAAAGCTACACATTGCCACCATTCCTCGTGATCTCTCCTGGCTGTCCAAATAATATCCTCTTCAAGTCCACCCTCTTAGTTGACCGACCAATGTCCACTTTTACCCTCGACACTCAGTACACACACGAACCCACACACACACTATTTCAAAGAGATGTTCTCCACTGGGATTTTTACACAGACATTAAGAGTGTGGGAAATGTGATGTATTTTCTCTTTATATAGAGAAAATGCCAGTTGTTCAGAGTCAGACAAAGAAATAACATCCTAGGCGGCACGTCGCGACAATCTACTAACTGCACCAACATAAAAAGCTTCGCCTCAACTATGATGAATACTTTTCGGTGCCCGCTGCTCCTGTTCACAGGTAAGTCTAGCCGAGGGGTTTTTTTAGTTAAAAATATGGGTTGATATTTAAAAATATGACAAACAGCCTAATGTTTACAAAAAATATATAATATTGTATTTTTCAAAAATTTCGTGAGATAAAAATGTTAAGTACGTAAGTATGTTGCCTTTGGTAACACTATTATTAAAAACTTAGCAGTCAGTCATCAGTAATTGTGGAAAGATTATTGTTTTATAAAATTAATAAGTATAGATTGGCCAATTACATGCTTGACGTGTACGAGGAGTGAGCAGTTCGGACGTTGGGAGTTGACTAAATGCTTTATTGCAAGTCTTTTACAAAAATTTCTCCGTGTGCCGTTAACCCTTATCTATACATTACAATGCTGAATATCGAATACGGCGTTTTTTTATTCTCTGAATGTTATTATTAGGCTCCTTTTTCAACAAAATATAATAGCATTCATGCATACACAGATAGTGTATTATTCTGGAAATATAAGAAATATACATAGTCATCAGCACGATCTACCATCCACAATTTATGTATATTTAACATTTCAGCAAATTGTCAATTTATATCCTTTTTTTAGTTTTTCATAGACATGTGACGATAAAACCAATAATGCTTATTTACATTAATATTTTTAACATTATAACCTTTGACTGAAATCAGATAATCAAAACAGGTGAGATTTTAAAAATATTACAGCTTTTTCATTCATTAGGAAATAATTCTTAAGTGAATGTGTTGCGATTACCATTGACTGTTTTCAATGCGTTTGTGTGTGGCTTGCATTATTAAGTCTCTCGAGATGAGTGTGTACTACTGTATTTCTGAATTTCCCGATACAGAAAGAGGGGCTCCCGGCCCTTTTTGGTGGTGCAAATGAATTTAGTGACACTGCATGTACGTGAGTCACTACAGTTTGGGGAGTAAGTCTCAACAATGTAACAGAGTAAAATCAACGGTACCAATTTATTTCATTAGAAATAGCCTCACTACACACTCTTGAGTTGTGCTGGGAAACTATTCCCAAGCCTCATCTCATCAACAATCAATTTCTTTCTATGGATATTCAGATTTTGGGTATTTATTTGTTTTGATTTACTGTGGATGTTGATTACAACTTTGCCTCCATCTTCCTAATTTACCCGTCAGACATAAAGAAATAAAATAACTGTAGTTTGAGAATGCCTATGTGCGTGATTTTAAATTATCAGAATAGTGAATATGCTTTAGATTTGAGTACATACACATATGTCCTAAAATTATGTAATTCTCATTTCCCTCCTATAATCATTTTCATGACGTGGCGTCATTTAGAAATATTTCATGTGACACTGAAACTTTCAGGAATAATTTGCCCGTTATTTACTATAACTTCAACTGTTGATATATTTCATCAGAATCTCCTTTGTCGTGGAGAAAAGGGGAGTGTAATTTCCTTAGATTGTGTTCTCGAAGGTACAAATTAATACGTGAAAATCAAAAAGACGAAAGAGACTGACTAAGGGTAATATTTTACTAAATATTACCCTTAGTCAGTCTCTTTCGTCTTTTTGATTTTCACGTATTAAATTCGGTTCTTTCTCCAGTTTTTTTTATCTACATAAAATCGTTAAAGTAAATATGGATTTTAGGTGAATCAACCAAGAGGTTCTCGATTAATTCATACGACACAATTGGTTCTCTCTAACGTAAAATTCGTGTAGAAGATATTTTTACTTTTGTCAACTACTACTCTATATGGACGAGAAAAATGAAATGAGAGAATGTATAAAAATAAATTATATATAGTTTAGGACATTCAAAATCAAGGCAAGTGAGGTTATTATATGAGTTGGTGTGCAAAGTAGATGGTAAAAATACAATCACATACTTCATACATAGTATACATACACCACCATTCTCTAACTATCATTTCCAATATACCTTTACAATCACATTCTGTTTGCGGATTTGTGCCAGCACATTCAACTAAGCCTTTCATTTGAACGTGAAACAAGTTTCAATTGTTCTTTTTTTATGCCGTATAACATTTAATTTCTGGAAACGAGAAAAGTGTGTAAAATGCAGAATTGAAAAAATTAGTTAATAAGATGCAAATAATTTCTGTTTAAAATACCTAATGCGATTTTGGTTCGGGTATCACCATTTCAATGCCCGGCAGCAACAGCAAGAGTAAAATACCGTAAAGCAGTTGTGTATCAAGAAACCGGTTTTTTGGCTCTTAAATCATGCATTGGGATTTATATATTTGATCAATCATGCTCGATAGAAGAAAATATGAAATCACTAAATATTTAATAAGTATTATGTGATTTTCTTAATATATATATTAGTCCGAAATATTGCTGAAAGAAGATATGTATTTTATTTCGTTGTCAGAGACTTAATAAATCAGGACAGAATGAAAGCAGACATAATATCAACTATTATAATTAATATGGCCATGTAGGCACTAGACAGGACGATTGCTGTAGTCAAAATCATTCCCAGCAAATATTTACATCAGTTTTTCCTTCTCGTAATAATTATTTATCAAACTGAGGTGGCCACTCGTGCGGCTTTTCCTTTGTTTAGTCATATTCTATCATCTTTATTCTTTTGTGAGTAGGTACACGCGGACTTATTCTTTTCAATTCAAGAAGCCCGTTGGGCTCGACGATGTAATGACGAAGACTCGGAGGAGATGAAGTATAAGAAAAGTACAATTGGAACCGAGTGCAGATTGCACATCACTGGGATTTGAGGTAACATAAACTCATGCCTTCTCGCCTGCGCTCACCTGGCTCTAATTAATTGAATAACACAGCGAGCTAGACGTGAAGTAGAATTTTCAACAAAACCCAGCATTCACTTTCCTCCATATTCATCAAATTCCTTCTCCGGTATACTCGGATTAAATTAATACTCATTTGAGCAGTATGAGGCGTAGAATTAATAGAGAGGTTTGCATTTGCCAGACGAGATGAATCAAGAAAAAAAAATTGTATTTGATTTTCACAAAACTCTGCAGTCTTCAAAAACTTTACATTTCCAACTAAAATCAACAATTCTGTATGGTTTCTCATTTTCCCACTGATTTATTGGAAACATTTTATGCTTTTGCTCATCAGCAACTTAGTATACGAAAATCCTTTTCCAATCATCATAGTATTAAGTTATTGAGCCATGAGAATAGGAAGGAATCGATCTTATATATACTGTATTTTTTACCATTATATTCATTTTTGAAGTTCAATACAAGCGAAGTATTGAAATAATTATAATACACTATCGATGAAGTATCAAATAACCGAAATATTTTTCTCAGAGTACGCAGTAGTGCCAGAACTTTTCCATTTCGGTTTTTAACCAAGGAATATTTATATTTACCTTAAAAAAGTTATAAAGAGAACAAAGTACTGGAAGTTTTAAATGAGAAGCAAGAAGATGTAGAAAAAAATGGAAGAAAAAAAAATTATTAAAGGCCAAGCACAATGCTTTTAGTAAATGAACTATCAAAGGTCACTAACAGAGAAACTCTGTAATTTTAGAGGAAAAGAAACATCCAATAATTTAGCTAATATATATAAGTTCAAAGTGTTTCATATATACGGCCAAAAAGGGAAAGTATGAGAAATTCCTTTTTGATCGCAACTCCACTTTATTTCGTCTTTCTTGCTGAATTCTCTCCTTTTGTCTTTGCTCATTTTTGGCAGATATACAGACAAATTCTTAAAGCTCCCGTCTTGACGTACATTTTCCGTCACAAACATGCTGCCACTCTCGCGCCCTATACTTTTCATTTGTTTGGTCTTCCGCCCAGAACTTCTCTGAACATTCAGCCGACACCCCGGTATTCCACCCTTATCTCAGGGCACACACAGACACCCACGGTTGTAGCCACAGGGTTCTTCCCGGCGAACATCACCATCCTTAGAGTTAGTCAATAACCCCTGAGTTCGTTCCGCCAGGAAAAAATCCACAAGGAGTGGGACGTGATTCTGCCATGAGGGAGAGACAGAGGGTGACCGGCGAAGGGAAAACCCAAGCTAGATGAGTGAGTAACATCGTGCTCCGTGTATTTCTGCATGAAAGCTTTTACCCGAGGCAATTGTGAAGTCTCCCCTGTGACGGGCTAGCTGAAGGGGATTTAGGTTG